CTCTCTCTCTCTCTCTCTCTCTCTCTCTCTCTCTCTCTGTGGCGCGTTTCCATCGTGTATTCGGAAAAGGGAACGGATTTTCCCGCGAAAGCGGGACGATTCATTCCCCTTCTCCTTTTTAGCAAAGAGAGAGAGAGAGAGAGAGAGAGAGAGAGAGAGAGAGAGAGAGAGAGAGAGAGAGAGAGAGAGAGTCTCTCTCTCTCTCTCTCTCGCGCGCGCGCGCGCTCGCGCGACTTTGTTTTTTCCCTTTCATTTTCTTTTTTTTTTACTTTTGTGTATTTGAATCTTTTTTTTTCTTTCTTTGTTCTTTTATTTTTTGGTGTCATGCCGAGTGAACCTGGGCCCGGCCATTCAGCAACGACTGGACGTGCCCTTGGCCGACCCCCTTAAGACTGCGGCGCGTATATGGGGAAGGCCCCGCGTGGTTTAATTACCTGGCAGCCCATGTCTTCCCCAAGTTTGCATGCAGTGTTATGTCCATTCGCAGATAGCAAGCACACACACACTGTAGGTGCACTGCACGTAGACTGAGCCGCCACCCAAAGGTGTCTCAGAGGGCACAAAAGTTCCTCTGAAGTACTGTCTGGACAGACCCCCAACCAAAGAGAAAAGAAAACTGAACTTATTCCCGAGTAGGATTCTTGAATAAAAAAAGCAATATCCCATTTCTTGTGAATAAAAAAATGCATTTTCGGCGGTTGAGTTACCTCAGGTCAACGGAGCATGTGGGACACGGTCCCTGGGATAGAGATCTTGCCCAGGGGCTTTGGGGAAAAAAAAAGAAAAAAAGATAAGGTCTTTAAACAAAGAGAATTTTTTATATGCCCTTGAAAGTTCGATTTATTTGCCGCGTGCCCCTGCAACGGCCGACTCACCCTGTCGTGCCCCTGGTGCCTCTGAGCTTTCCTGCTGGCCCCTGTAAGCACTCGCAGCCGTTCCCCTGGCCCAGGAAGGGAATCTCCCGGGGGATACTGGAAATTTGGAACCTGTACCAGTACAGGCCCAAACAACGCCAGGGGTTTTGGGCAAACTGCAATCATTGTCAGAGGGGCGCAACAGGGTAAGTCAGCCGTCAGAGGGGCATGCCCCAAATAAATGGAACTTTCAGGGGCATATGGAAAACATTCCCTTAAAAAAATGTAAAAAAATAAAACAATAAAGATGCACCAAGAACGCGAAGCAATCAGACAGAGAAACAAGGAGGAGGGGGAGGAGGAGGAGGAGGAGGAGGAGAAAGAAGAAGAAGAAGAAGAAGAAGAAGAAGGTCTGCTCCTGGACTCGTACGGGTTAACACAGCTCTCATGGGTCTCCACCGCCTGTGGTGTTTGGGACCTTTACGTAAACCGTCACCCATTTTTTATTTTTTTTATTTTTTTTTTGTAACTCGTCACTTCCCTTTATAGAACATAATTACTGATTTTGTTTAATTCATTTTCTGCAAACAAGTCCGTTACTTTGTTTAATTCATTTTCTGCAAACAAGTCAGTTGCCTCAGTGCGGAGAGTTCGCAGCTCCACTCACTCTCCACCTTCATGGGAACTTCCGTTTATCATAATAAATATTAGTTGTTTCCTCCTACAGCTAAAATAAAGCAGCCGCCTTTTGACACAGGAACATCATGAAAAGGTGGGTCGGTTGGCCGTCCTACCATCATGCACCATTATCGAGACTCTATACAATAAAACCCCCAAACCGTTCAAGGGACGCGCCCGAACCGCTGGAGTCATTTCCATCCACGTGCAAAATCACATACACTCGCTCTCCCCGCTCAACGGGAAAAGAGTCTACACGGGGGCGACAACACTTACCCATCAATATAAACCGTTCTCCATTCCTCTCTCTCTCTCTCTCTCTCTCTCTCTCTCTCTCTCTCTCTCTCTCTCTCTCTCTCT